CCTACATTATGTCCTCTCGGCCAGCAATGATCCTAGAATTACCCCTGAAGCTGCGAGATGTTTTCCTTGGCTCCTTTGGCTTCTTTGGAAAAATAGGAACAAATTGCTTTTCGAAAGCTCCAATTTCTGTAGCCTCGAGATAGTCAACAAAGCCTTCCATGACTCAAATCGGTGGTTTATGGCCCAAGAGATTGAGCAACACATTCATGCATCCCAACCTGAGGAGTTGATATCAACTCTTAAGCTATGGCAACCTCCTCAAAATTCTTGGATAAAATGTAATATCGGGTTTTCCTGGAATAAAACTTCTCTTGAATGTGGAGCATCTTGGACGACTCGTCATTCATCAGGGGAGATATTACTTCATGCCCGCAGGTCTTTTGCTTCTGTCCCGTCTAAACTTGAAGCCTCCTTATTAGCCATAAGCTGGGCAATTGAGAGTATTTCCTCTCTCGGCTATAGACGAGTGATTTTCGCTTCAACAGGGACGGAATTGGTCAATGCGATCTCCAGGCCCAAAGCTTGGCCATCCTTCTTGTTTCATTCAACAAAGCTTCTTCAGATGCTTCGTCCTGTGCCCAATTGGAAGTTTGTTTCCGAATCTAGGGAGGCAAATTTGATTGCTTTTAAGATTGCACATAGTGCATCTCATGGGAATCGACATCAATCATATATCGCTTTGGGTCCTCCCGCTTGGCTTCGAACCCTCATGGACGCAGACATTAGAAGGCTAGCTTCGGCTTGATTCTACCCTCTGTTTCTCTTAAGTCTCATGATTGTTTTCGATTCCCCTTTTGCCTCTGTTTTTATTAAAATTCTGTTTCGTATAATATATCTTTTTCGGATAAAAAAAAATCATTAGTGCATACCAATATTTATCATCTGAATCATCTCTAACAAAAATTTATTGAACACAAATATTTTATAATAAATTACAAATAATTTCCCAAAAAACTACAGTTTTTTTTATCTGCCACCCCCTATCATTTTCACGTTCTTTCTGCTACTATTTTTTTCACCTCTTTTTTTTTTGATTTATCATTATTGGTCCATACCAATATTTGTCGTCTGAATTCGCCTCAACATACACAAAATTTTATTGAAATATTATATA